AATGATCTCTTTTAAAAAACCTCTAATAGTTGAATAGAAAAAGCATTTTATTTTCTCATTTTGTTTCTGTTATTATGTAAACTAACTGAGAATTTCACTTTCTTATGAATAAATGCATTAGTATTCTCGTGCATTTATACATCTTTGTGTACATAACCACTGTAGTATATTTTATAGAGTTCATTCTTTACTGCAGGTTGTTGTGTATTAACTCGGAGGAAACAAACTTCTACATAAGTTCCGTTTCTCCACATGCAGCCAGTTTCATCCTTTTCAGTGACCTGATAATATCGGTTTCATTGTTTACTGGTTAACTGGAAATACCTGATTTACAGTCCTGTTAAAAAGAAAAGGAATCTAAGAGTTGTGGTAACCTGAGAAGGTAGATTCTTTATAAGAAAGGAGCTACACCGAAGTGACCACAGGTTAACATTTTTCCTGAGTTCACTTCGAGTTTGACTTCATGGCTGAATAATCTGCAGTCTCCCTGCCTTAGGTGATACGTTTAATGTTGGTGAATCAGGAAACTCTTTATGAAACAAAAAACATTCTGCCCATTTTTCAAGGCTCACAGTTTGTGTGGCAAACATGGTTAGACTTTTGGATTTTTGTGGATTTTTTTAAAAATCTTCATGGATTCAAACAAAAATAAAAAATAGAAGCTTCAATGAGTTTTGAGTTCTTACATCATGATCTTTGATTTTTAGCTCTTTTTAATATTTTTTCACTGTGAGCCAGCAGCTAATACAAGCCATAAAAAGGCTCCATGAATGTTTAAAGACTTTAAATACCATGCCCATTAATAAGTACTAATATTGGTTCAATGAAATCCTTGTTTACAAGTTAGACAGAAACATCCCAAACAGTTCACCATTGTCCAGTTTAATCCATTGTATCTATTTCACAAAAACACTTAATTGTGAAAGTTTAATGAAATCTAAGTCCAGCTGTTTCAGTTGTTGTGTCCTTGGGCAAGACAACTCACCCACCTTGCCTACTGATGGTGGTCAGAGGGTCCGGCAGCCCACCCTCTGTCAGTGTGCCCCAGAGCAGCTGTGGCTACATTGTAGCTTACCATCATCGGTGTGTGAATGGGTGAATGTCTGTAAAGTGCTTTGGGGTCAACAGGGACTTGATAAAGTGCTCTATAAGTTCAGTCCATCCATCCATCCATCCATCCATCCATCCATCCATCCATC